TGCCCTCTAACTTCCTTGTCTTTTTCTCCCATGCTCATTTCAAGAACTTCTCCAGAGCCTTTCCCATCCTCTGGAACTCTCTACCCCAATCTATCTGACTATCGCTTACTCTGCGCACTTTTAGGCGATCTCTGAAAACTTATCTCTTCAGGGAAGCCTATCCCGCCTTCAGCTAATAACCGAATCCTCTGTTTCTCCTATCAGTTCCTCCCCCATAGTTATTACCTTTTGTACCACCAGCCCCTCCCTCTTAGATTGTAAGCTCCAAGGAGCAGGGCCCTCCTATCCCTCTTGTATTGAACTGTATTGTTGCTGTATTGTCTCCCTTTATATCGTAAAGTGCTGAGCAAACTGTTGGCGCTATATAAATCTTGTATAATAATAATAAGTAGTAATCACTGACACCTTTTATCTTTTTAGCTATTTATAAGGAGAATTCTTCTCAATGGCTACAAATATAAGGAGCTTTCTTCTCACTGTCGCTCACACTAATGTATGTACAAATGAAAATATAGATTCCATGGGACCTAATATAAAGTCCCAGAGAATCTATATATTTGCACATATATTGAATTTAGGCATGATGGCAATGTGGAGAACCAAACCACTCTCAGCATGTTTGCAACTATCACACTAATATATAGTGAGCTGTAGATATAGTAATTATTGTCAGGGATTCCTTAATCCAAGAAAGTTAGTTCAAGGGCTCCTCTGTGTTAAAAAAACATTGAGAATATCTGCATTATACCAAGTGTCGTCTAGAACATAAGGCTGAGTAATGACTGTATTTAGAAATACTGAATAGCAGTAGTAGAGTGTTGTGCCATGTTAGTCATTGATCAATTCAGAACAATTGGAGTTTTAACAATCCTGTTTATTGGTTAACTTAAAATATTAAAGAGTCAAGCTTTCAGGATAAAAGCCTTTGCCTCCTTCCCCCGCCCTGTGGTCAATCGGTCTTGTAAATGGACTGTTCCTGATTTCAGCACGCTCCATAGACAGGAACAGTCCACCTCTGGACCGTGGAGGAGCACAGTTTTCCAGAGGATCGGTGGGTCAGGTGAATATATGCTTTGTGCTCACCCCTAGAAAAAAAGGAGCTGCTGATCCATGCAGTGGGGGCTGTGAAAAAAAATGTCTGGCCCACACTTCTGCTTTCTTCTGGATGAAGGTGGAGTTGCACCTGAAAAAAAAAATTTAGCAGCTACAAAACTGTAGCTGTGGACTCTTAAAATGCAGACATTTACATGTCCCGCGGTCCAGCAGTGTCCTCACCACTGCTAGTTTCAACGGCTGTCTTCTCTCCCTGGTGCCGGCATCTTCAGTGTGGGCAGTCGGGTGCCCATTGCGCATGCACGAGAAGCGCTGAGTGAATGGCCCCATAGTCTTCTGGGACCTGTCACATGTCCCAGAAGACTACAGGGAGGGAGGGGGGGGGACAACTTCCGCTTCCAATTGCCTAGGCGATCGCAGCGGAAGTGGGAGCGGGTACCTGTCAAATTCGGGTACCCCCTCCCCCCCGCTCCCCAAAGGTGCCAATTATTAATGAGGAGATGGGGACAAAAGGCTTAAAGCGGAACTTCCCCTTTTGGGTGAAGCTCCACTTTAAGGTAAAAAATGTCCGACTAGCTGTTACTTACCTGAGTCCTCTCTTGATCTTGAGCTGTGTCAGTCTGCAGCAGCACTGCTCTCTTCCTGGTCTCACAGGACAGATTAAGGGCAGCAGGAGTTATTGGCTCCTTTTGCTGCCAATAAAATCCTGTGAGGAGGCAGTGTTGGCAGGGCCAAGCCACACTGTGTGTATCAATGGATGCACACAGCCTGGCTTGGGACCATGGGAGCAAACCCCCACCCATAACAAGTGGCTTGCTATGAGGGCACACTCAAAAGAGAGGAGTGGACAGCACCAGTGGTGGACCCCAGAAGAGGAGGATCGGGTTCACTCTGTCTAATACCATTGCATAGAACAGGTAAGTATAACATATCTTTTTTTAGTCTAAGAAAAAAAATGGAACCTTTACAACCACTTTAATAACTCAAGTTAATCAATAATGCGACTGGTATGAAAGTACAAAATATATATGTAAAGTGCTGCGTAAATTGATGGTGCTATATAAATACCTGAAATAAATAAATAACATAAAAGGGATCACCTAAAGCCCTATGCTGGGCTACGGGCAGCACAATGGTTAAGTGGTTAGCAGCTCCACCTGACAGCACTAGCGTCATCGGCTTGAATCCCAACCATGGCACTACCTGCATGGGGTTTGCATGTTCTCTCTGTGCCTGCTTGGGTCCCCTCCAAAGACATGCTGGTAGGTTAGTTGTCTCCTGTCTAAATTATTATTACAGATACTGATATAGTGCCATCAATTTACGCAGCGCTTTACATATATATCTATTGAACATTCACATTGGCCCTAGTATGTGTATGTATGAATGTGAGCTGAGGACCTTAGATTGAAATCTCCTTGAGGGCAGGTACTGGTGAGAGTAGAACAGTGGCTAAATGGTTAGCACTTCTGCCTGGTAGCACTAGGGTCGTTGGTTTGAAACCCAACCAAGAACCACCTGCATGCATAGACTTTGCATGCAGGAGCCAAGTAGGGAGTACACAGAAGAGAAGACTCGTGGCTGTGGAGTCCCATAAAGTAGAAAAGAGCATTTATATATTATTAAGTGTTCTTGCATGGCAAGACCACTCCTGTTATGTCACATATATATTCTTATTATTATAGCCAAATTTACCACCCTAACTCCTCCCACAGTTTTTTTACACTACATAGACAGTAATATACCGAAACGTGCGGATTGTTCCCGATTGGTGTGCTATTACTTTGTGGAACGTTTCGCCGAATGGTTCACGAAATATCGGCGTTTTTGTGGTGAAATTGGTCCCATAGGAATAAATGGCGGAATATTCAAAACTAGAGTGGGAGCTGACAAAAGCTAGAGTTTGAGCTGAAAAATCAGGACATGATTTCTAAACTGCCATCACTCCCTCATTTTCAAGCCCACCTACACAAATCTTATATCAAAACGTTCAGCTGTCCCTGCTGCCACTAAAAATGTCCACGGCTAAGCCATAGTCCTGATAGTTTTCACAATATGACCATTTGTTTGCAACTCACGCCGCCCATTGACATTCATTGAAACTCCACTCTAGCTACCTCAAATTTGAAGGGCAATTTCTAAACTGCGACTGTGCCTTCATTTTTAATATTTCAGAGACATACTATGCATCAAAATGTAGGTCTGGGTCTTGTGATTGTCACAATATAAAGCTCTTCGGTGTAGGATTTATCATTTTTAAACTACAACCGTTGATGGCAACCCCCAGTGAAGTGAGCAAGTTGGAGCAGTTTGTTTTTAACCGCTCTTCTCTGCCCTTGCTGTAAAGTGAGTTGCCATAGGAACCCAGGTGTATGAGCAGGCAGCAGAGTGGCAAAAGCTTGAGTGTGAGCTGAAAAATAAAAGTTGAAATGCATTTCTCACTCTATCAGGCTTGCCATGTGCACTTTTTAAATTTGATCAATCAATTGGTTAGTGTAATGTTTACTATCTTTACTCCAAACACTCCACACAGTTACTCTGCCCACTCCATAAAGTTACTCTGCCCAGTCCAACCTTTTCACAGTTACTCCAGCCACTCCAACCACACAACAGTTACTCCGCCCACTCCACCCAGTTACTCCGCCCACTCCAGTTGTAGACTACTGGTGGAGGCAAGAACACTTCACACAATTTCCCCAGAAATTGTAGCTTTTCTAGTTATTATTATACAGGATTTATATAGCGCCGGCAGTTTGCTCAGTGCTTTACTATATAAAGGGAGACAGTACAGCAACAATACAGTTCAATACAAGAGGGATAGGAGGGCCTGATCCTGGGAGCTTACAATCTAATATATGGAATGTTTTGGGGGTTTTTTTAATCAGTGATCAGGATAGAAAAATGACCCTAGAGTAGGATTGCCACCTCATCCCTTTAAACCCGAACACCTTAATCGACCACAGAACCTGTGTAATGAATATGTGTTGGGTTTTAAAGGCTGAGGTGGCCACCCTACCCCAAAGTGGGGCTATAAACTCCAGAATGACTAAAACACTGATTAGTGGTGAGCAGATCGTTGACTAGGATCACTCTGCTCAGTATTTCACCTTCAAGCAGGGGCGGACTGACCATTCGGAAACTCGGGCACTGCCCGAGGGCCCGGGGTCAGTAGGGGGCCCCATGAGATGCCCCTGGAACCTTTTTCATAGGCTTTTTTTAGTTTGGGCAAGGACAAAGGGGCCCCATGATCCCCTATTGCCCGGGGCCCCATGATCCCCTATTGCCCGGGGGCCCCATTGATCCCCTATTGCCCGGGGGCCCCATGAGTTGTCAGTCCGCCCCTGCCATCAAGTTGCAGTTGTAAATCATTAGATCACCAATGCGGACGGTGATTTTCCTTTCCGTTCCTAGAGATCCCGCTGCGCTCGGTCTTCTCTGGCGCTCCTCTGCCACCTACTAGTCACTGAGCTCCCTACACCTGGAGGCACCTGCTCCGATGGCCGGGAGGGGAGGGGCGGGGAGGAAAGGGGCGGGGAGCCGATGACAGCCAGACAAATCTGTCACGACAATTAGGCTTACTCATAATCCTAATTACAAATAAAGTGCTTTCGTTTATCCCGCCCCTCCCGGTGATTGGCTGGAGATAATGTAGGTGAGCGCAGTGGCCCCGCCCAGGCCTGTGTTATAACAGGGAGGCAGCATGGACAGGGAGAGCCAGTTAACAATAATAATAACAATCAGAAGGTCATCCTCCTCCTCCAATCACCATCACGCCTGGCGGCCGCTGAGCCCGGACAGGGGGGAGCTGACGTCCCTTCACAAGACCTGTGACAAGCCACCGCTGTGGCGCTTTGACAGACGCCGGTCAGGTGCTGGAGATGTGCCCGGCCGCCGATCCGTGAGCAGTGACGGAGCCAGGTAGAGCTGACAACCTGAACAAGACGGTGATGAACGGTGACGGCTTCCCCCGAGCTGCCTATATGGACAAGGTGTGCGATCAGGACACCAGCACGCCCTCCCCTCTCTCCAGCCGGGGCGATGAGCTGGGATCTGACGGAGACTTCGTAGCCAACAGTCCTACACCGGTCCTGTGCCCCCGGGACTCCGAGATGGACACCGACACCGGGAGCCTGGGGGGAGACGAGGAGGAGGAGGAAGAAGAGGTGAGACCTGGGTCGGAGAGGGACGAGGAGGGCGCAGATGGGGCTGTAGGCTGCAGAACCCAATCAGCTGAAGGTGGCAAAGCCAAGACTTACACCCGGCGCCCCAAGCCGCCCTACTCCTACATTGCCTTAATAGCCATGGCCATCAGAGACTCTGCCACCGGTCGCCTCACCCTTGCTGAGATCAATGACTACCTGATGAAGAAGTTCCCGTTCTTCAGAGGCCAGTACACCGGCTGGAGAAACTCCGTCAGGCACAACCTGTCCCTCAATGACTGTTTTGTCAAAGTCCTCAGAGACCCATCTCGGCCATGGGGTAAGGACAACTACTGGATGCTAAATCCTAACAGCGAATACACCTTTGCAGATGGGGTGTTCAGGCGCAGAAGGAAGAGGCTAAACAGGGTCACCAAGTGCCTTAAAGACCAGGAGCTCCAAGGGCTTCCTGAGCATCATCAGCACCACTCATTGAGTCCATCAGCAGCAGCAAACCATGGACCAGTGGCATCATCTAGCATGCTAGTCCTACCACCTTCCTCACCATCCTCTTCCTCTGTCCATCCATCTTCCAGCATCAACCAGTCCACCAAGGACACCAGTTTGGGGACCAAATTCTCCAGTTCATTCGCTATTGACACCATCTTGAGTAAGCCCTTCCGGAAACGGGAGACATCAGAGCTGGACACCAAGTCTACAAGTGGGAAGCTGATGTGGCCAACAGGTGCACTGCTTCATTCTTCTGCTTCAGTTCCTTCTTACCCATTCCTCTCCTATTCTCCATCATCTGCCCTGCCTCACCCATCAGCCTTGTTCCCCCTTAGCCATTTAAGCAATGGCTCATCATTGCACTTACAACTCTATAGGTATTGTATGCCTGAAGCTCTATTGCTGCTAATGGATCCTAGAAGTGAAGGACAGCAGTTGCCTGCTGAACCCAGAGAAGATCAGCAGCATAGCCACCGTGCCCCATCACTTCACCCCCATCTAATGGCACCCCCTAGTTCCTCCAAGACCTATTCAGAACACCTGGGGAACAATGAGATCCTGTGCACCATGCGTTCCCCTGGACCTTACCTCCCCTACCGGCCAGAGACATTGTTAGCCTGACAGCGATGAGGGGAGTGAGCTAGGGAAGGTATATTCAGCTTTAGTATCCCCATCAAAGCTGTAGCTTCAACCTGTGGAGGCATAATTTATTTCCAAAGAGTCAACCACATGTTCCTCATGAAGTCTCTTAATGGACTACATTTGGGTAATGCAACTTGATACATTTCTGTTTTTATAGACTATAAAAACTGTTTGTGGCTTTATTTTGTAAGTGCCTTTTCTATGGTTTACCTTCCCTAGTTCAGGGCTCTCTATAACTGACAGTAGGCCCAGTTCACAAAGTTAACACCCCGTGATAAGCATCTTTACTTTTTTAAAAGAGGGTTCTTTTCAGAGTCCAGTTTGAAAAATTAGTCACATGAGTAAAATTAAAGCTGCTTATCTGTGTGCTAAAATGTGTGAACTGGTCTTAATATAAGGAATTTCAACTACTATGGCATATCAACTGTATGATGAAACTGGAAGCCATAGGTCTAAAGATCCAAATTCCTTAGAAATGTGATTGTAATTCTAAATATGACCAGGGTCTATTTAATGGTCCAGACTGCTCTTAACAATGAATGTGGCTGTGCCACTGACACTGCACTGGTAAATGTGTTTAAAAAGAGGTGATAAGTGACCTTTTACTGCACTTTTTGTTTTTGAGTTTTTCTTTCAGATTTATAATAGACAATTGAAACAAGATGCTCTGACTGTCTCTTTGAGATATATAATATATATATATATTTTGTAATGCATCAAGTTTTCATTCCAGAGTTCTCAGTTACCTCGACTTGGGCCAGTTGCCTGGCTGCCACTTTGTCCTTTTGTCCATGAACTGTATATATTTCAACAGTGCCATTTCTGAAATGCCAAGTCGTTAGGTAATTATACCTGTTAGCATTGTGCCAAAAAATTGATATTGATTTCCAGGTCATTTCTGCTGTAATCACCACTGTGCCAAAAGTGACTAAAACCAAATGTTTTTTGTTTCTTAAATTATTTATACTAAAATCATTAGAGACAAGTGATCACTAATTAATTGTGATCCACTGATTAAACTGGAGACTTCAACGTGCGTTCCAATCGAGCTAAACATAGATTTTTGATGTGTTGTGTAACAGTGTCATTCCAGGAAAGCCCAAACACTGCCAAATATTGAGCAGAAATTGTGTTTTTTTAATGTTTTATATGTATATTTTATTAAACTAAAGCATACAGCTTATTTTCAAATAAAAATGTTGCTAAAAAATAAACTAATTCTTGTGTGTGACGTATTCAGTGATTCAGCAGTTTGCTTTGTGATGGTTGAAGGGAATTCCATAAAGCTCATAACATGAAAAGTATGTGATTTGCGTGAGAAATAATAAAGACAGTTTACAGTGACGGCTGAGAGGAGAAGATCTGGTTACGCTAGAAGGCTGCTCACCTTGCAGGAGGGGGGGGGGGGGGGGGGGGGGGGGGGAGGCTGGACTGTCAGTTCACTCATCTTCACTCCTTCTTATCTCTACTCTAATGTAACCACAGATCTGTGCTAGACTGAACACCCACATCACTACCCTAATCATACACATACCTGCCTAGTGCAATCACAAAAACAGATGAGCACACTTGCCTGCGCTTTTTGACAGCTGTAGGACAGAATAATCCATTTTATTTAGCTTCTGGACATATCTAGATGTATTTTTTCCATAGACTGTAAATACTTCCAGAAAGAAATATTTTCATTTGTGCTCGTTGAGAATTAAGAGTCGTAGTACTAGTACCAGTGGGATTAGTAATAATACTACTATTATTATTGCTACTCCTAATATTTGACACCACCATGAGTGATCTGTCCTCCCTCCTGTGGACAGAATCCGCAAAGTTCATATACCTGAAGTGGGGTGCAGCTTTTTGGCAAGGGCCTGGTACAACATAGAAATAGGGAAGGTGTGGAAAAGGTGCAGGGTTTGGCATTGGTGCAACTTTGGGATGTGGATGGGATATCACATAACATTTTATTGGAGCTTTAGCCAGCACCTCTGACATTGAAGCTGTCAGAGAATTGCTGTATCAGTGGACATTTTATTCATCTGGCCATGCATACAAAATGGTCACATATTCAGGTTGGAATGCATTTTTATATATGTGTTTTCTCCCATTAATTAACTTTAGTTAATGTATTTAAAAAATTGAATCTCTCCAAATCACCACTGCGCATGGACGTGAATTGCTGTCATGGGTTTTACAGCCACATCTTAGTTTCCTTTCTCTATTCCAGATTTTGTTGCCTCAAATGGCTGATAGATCAGGGGGATGATCTTTGTTTATGATAGAGAAGAAGAGGGAGAGTATTCTAATACAGTATGTTAAAGATGTTATGAAGACCTAATCAAGCATTTTTTTATTGCTTAACTTTATGGGGGGAGATTTAAAGGATAAGTTCACCTTTTGACAAAAAATAATAAATGCACATTTTTTTTGCAGGTAACAAAATGTGCATTTATTATTTTTGGTTGCAGGAGCCTGTAAAGCCATGTGCCAGCGATCAGCAGATCATTGGTGTCATGCAGGTCTCCTGCAGACCTGTCAGCATATCTGCTTGCTCGTACAGGATGTAATGGCAAGCAGATATAATGACAAGAAGAATCAATAAACTACCACAGCACTCCACAGCATCATGGTAGTTCATTGAGAATTACAAGTCAACAGCCACTAAGGCTGTCAGGACTTGTAGTTCATTCATTCACAAAACTCTGTGAATGATGTGTCCGTGTGGGCAAAGTGACAGCGAATATGGTGTAAACTTCTGTCCGTACTGCTGTCACGGGCGGGGGAGAAAGCGGGCAGCTGCTGCAGCATTGGGAACATATTACAGGTTCCACTCTAAAAATGAATAGCACAACATGTTCCCAAAGATTAACTTATTCTTTAATATAACTGAGGAGTGCAAAATCTTGTGCAGGTGTGCATTGAAACCAATCAGCTTCCAGATTTTATTGGCAAAGCTTAATTGAACAAGCTGAAGTTAGAAGCTGATAGGCTACCATGCACAGCTGTACCAGATTCTGAGTGCTCTAGTTTTAGTAAGTCTCTCCCCAATGTATCTAAACTCCAACCCTATAGGGGGGATTTACTAAAACTGGAGCACTCCGAATCTGGTGCATGGTAGCCAATCAGCTTCTAACTTCAGCTTGTTCAATTAGGCTTTGCCAATAAAACCTGGAAGCTGATTGGTTTTCTATGCAGAGATGCACCAGATTTTGCACTCTCCAGTTTTAGTAAATAACCCCTATGTGTTCTTATAAAAAATATAAAGACAATTGTATATTATCAGTACCAAATTGATATTGGTATATCAGATTGGCATTGAACAAATCAATATGATCAATATGAGGGCAGCTGTACTTCTTTACTTTTCAGTCCATTCGTAATGTTTTAATTTTTGATGGCACTAAAAAGTTAAAGTAAACCTTTCCTCGGGGGGGATATGGAAGCTGCCATTGTTGATCTACTTCTCCAAGCCTGGGTTCACATATATGCTGTGCGGTACATCGCATGTGATTCGCACAGGAACCGCATTGCATTCCTGTGCAAATCACATGTGATTTGTCTGCAGTGCGATTGGAGCCATACATTTTGTATGGCTCTAATCGCACCACACCCACACCAAAAAGGTGCAGGACCCTTTTTTTGGTCCGCACTAGAATCGGATCGCACGGGTATTCACACCTATGCGATCCCATTCTGCTCATCACACTGCGTTTTGCGGACCGATTTCAGGGTGTTGTTAACATACACACCCGCAGCGGTTCACATGAACGAGGTGCAATTCTGATGCAGTGTGGAATTCACACACAAAACGCTGCGAATTCCAGACTGCATCAGTATGAACCCAGGCTGAATGCAGTTTGCCTGGCTTTAGTCTGATGTTCTAACCTGCAGCCAGGCAGCTATGACAAGTGCAAAGTCAATATTGGCAGCCTCTATGGTATTCTTCTGGAAAGGTTTCCTTTAGACCATGGGTTTCCAAACTATGGCCATCCAACTGTTGAAGTACTACAAGTCCCATCATGCCTATGCCTTTGGAAGTCTTGCCTATGGCTCTCAGAGTCTTGCAAGGCCTCATGGGACTTGCAGTTCCTCAACACCTGGAGGGCCATTATTTGGAGCCCCCTGCTTTAGATGACCTAACAGATTCTAATGTGTCTTAGGGATTCTTTTAGTGAGATATCCACATATGAGTTCTCAGGCATGCACACTTGTTGCAACAATTTCAAGGAATCCCACTCTTCCTGTTAGACCTACACTTATTTGATATTGTCGAAGATGGAAGGTCAGCAGGAGAAGACCTGGAAGCTATGGCAAGAGGATCTAGCCTAGACTCTTAAACCCAATAAGAAGATTGGTCATTTCAGTGGGCATATATGTGGGTTAAACAATGCTGGATCCATGAAAAAGTCCTGGGTCCACCATACTGTGACCAATAAGAGATCTCCATACACCCTGTCATAAATCCTTCTTTTACATATCTCTAAAACGGCAAATTGTTCTTGACAAAGGTGACCTACTTAAAGAACAATCTGTCATTTTAAACCTGTGCACAGGGGCAGACTGACCATTTTGAAACTCAGGCACTGCCCGAGGGCCCGGGGTCAGTAGGGGGCCCCATGAGATGCAGACAAAAAGAGAAGTTGTGAAAAGAGATTCACAGGAAAGCGGCTACATTTTGGACAGAATGCAATACTCAGAAAAATGTCCAAAAAATTATGCTTTATTAAACATCAATAGCAGACATTAGGGTAATTACCCCGGTTCACCATCACCTCAGTATGAGATAATACACTCAGACCTAAAACCACAAGGTAACCTGCATAGCGCCAATGCGCATGACCGGAAATGACGTATCTGACGTATGATGGCAACGCGTTTCGACGATGGGCGTATCTCACTCAGCTTCGTCAGGACCAATGAGATCCCTGCCTTTTATCTCATACTGAGGTGATGGTGAACCGGGGTAATTACCCTAATGTCTACTA